TGGGATTTGATAACAGTCTTCAAATACCTTACGGGCAATTATGGAGAGGATGGAAATGAGCTTTTCTCTGTGGCTATTGGGGACAGGACTAGGAGCAATGACCTAAAGCTGCAGCAGGGGAAATTTAGGTTGGAGATTAGAAGGAACTCTCTCACTATAAGAGTGGTCCAGTATTAGAATAAGCTACCTAGAGATGTTGTAGAATCTCCATGTTTGGAAGTTTTCAAGAGTAGGTTAGACACTTGGCTGGGATGGTTTAGTCAGGGATGATCCTGCCCTGAGCAGGTGGATGGACTAGGTATGGTCCCTTCCAGCGCTATTGTCCTATGATCACATGGCCCTGTTAAAGAAGGGGTATTCTCAGCATTTTGTGGTATAAAGCCTCTATTCTAGGACCAATGGTTCCCAAGATACTGGGTCATGACTCTCTGCAAGCTGAAAGTATCTTTTCCAGAAATAAAATTCCATGTTGTAGAACTGCCTTTAACAAGGAGCTTCGGAGCAGTCAGAGAGAGAATGTGTGTGTCCATGTGTTTGTGCGTATGTACATGCACGCACACAATAATGAGTGTATGATTAATGGGAAAATGCAAATACAGAGGCCACACAGTCACAGGAATTCCACTGAGTTCCAAAGGATAGACCCCCCCACAACTTATTCCAAGAGAGGAGAGTGGGAAAATACCAATTCTAAACAGAATAAGAGACAAGTAGTTGTGTGGGGAGACTCTCCTTCTACCTTTCATCCCAGTAGGCTTTATTGTGGAGAAGCAGGAATAGTAGAACCACTAGTGCTCCCATGAGAGTTGGTATCAGGCACCACAACTGCTCCTTGTGGTATATTTTCAAGCATCTGTCTCAGTCCAGTTTCAGATAATAAATGGTAGGATTTGCAGAAGACTTCAGATTTAATAGTGCTTTCATTAAATTTACCATTGACTTTAGAGCCAGTATTTGATCAATGCTGCAGTTTTTTAACACCTCACCTCCAAGGCAGAGATTTTAAGAAGTATTTTAAATGCCACTTTGTTTGTTTTATTATTCCTTGTATCTGCATAATAAAAGTTTCAATTACGCACTCACTAAAAAGAAAATAATGGCCTTTTAAGCTTAAGTCCTCATCACTACAGCTAAAAATTGTCAGGCTGTATTTACAAAGCAGACAAATTTGCTTTTCTGAGGAAAATTTTCACCAAACAAAAGGTGATGGTATGCAAAATAATGGAACATGAATTTACTAAGAGATTCCACCATGAGACGCAATAATTCATAAGAAAACAAGTGTAAGTTTATTGGACACCAACATCTCTTAGTCAAGTTCTAAGTAAAGAAAACACACAGTAGAAAAAAGTCATACAAAGCAGCAATGGGTTTACATTACATTAAAGGAAGAGTTAACCTATCCTATTAATTCTCAGTCCTAAAAAAAGTAAAAACCTATTCATAATTAAAATTCAACACTGATGTACTGAACCAATATACAATGGCTACAAGATATACAGTATTATAAAAAGTTTATTTTGTCTTCTATAATCCTTTAAAATGACAAGTGATTTTTTGTAACTTTAATAGGAAAATTCTACAGCTTGCATGTTGACACTGGACAACTCCAACTTCCAGAAACTACAGGAAATTTTTTCCAAGCATTACAAGTGATTTCATTTTTTCCTGTTATTTTTAAAAAGGGACACTGTCAAGGTGAAGACTTAAAATTTGCATTTGATAATTTTTATATGTTCATGCATATTTACAGTATTATATTTTTAAAAGGTTTTTTTAAATTTAACATTCTGTTGTAGTGGTAGAAATGTAAACACAAAACTGAAGAAGTAAATTGATTTGTCTGTTTTAACAGCTCTAGAATAGTGAAAAGCGAAACAAATACAAGAGTCCAAGCCACAAAACTCAGATCCATATTTTAGACATCAAGCCAAGTTTGAAGATGCCTTTATATGGAATTTTCATGTCTACACAGCTTAAATGCTAAAAACATTTTTGGTTTTTTTAATTATTTCACTTTTATTAAACTATCAAATAACGTTAGTAACACAGGTAATGACTTTTATATTATGATTTTATCTTGATAGTGTCCCTTAATGTACAACAGTTATAGTACATTTTTTCACAAGTCATTTTAAACAAACAAGAATCAGTAAGACATTTTAAACCCCAAATACTATCAAGGCTGCTTTCAACAAAAGGTTTTTAACACTGATTCACTAACAGCAACGTAAAAAAAAAAAAAAAAAAAAAAAAAAAAAAAAATAAAATCAAAACTTGCTTTGATTTTCATTTAGATCTTCTGGTAGGAAAATGTAAACAGTTTTACTGAACAGCATAGGCACATGCCAGATTTTATAGGCACATGCCAGATATTTGCACCATAACTTCTAGTGCCAGGAAGTCAGGGCTATAGTCTATCTTTGTCCCACATGAGGAACTTCCAGTTGTGAAAGTGGAAGGTGGGGCAAAAACAGTACAAACACAGCTCGGGACCAAACCTGCATTCCCTGCTTGAGAGGGAGGAATTTTCACGAATATCCATGTCCAAGAGGGAAATGCAGGATCAGGTCTCTTACAGCTCTATATTTTGGTTCCCTGGAGGTTTATAAGGCTATAATTGTGTTCTGAATAAGATAGACAAGTTACCTGTCATCCATTGCTTCAGCAGATTACAACCTCTGAAGTTAAACTGTTAGTCTTCTTTCATGTAAAGAAAGTACAAAAGCAGAGACAGCAGCACTACTGTTACATGTCCTCTGTATATTTTGGTAACATTGCATACATAACCTCTCTTCAAAGGAACATTAAATTTAAAAACATTTGGTTCTACCATTCTAAAGATCATATGTTATTTTTTTTTCCATTGCTTACTTTAAAAGATTGGTCATGGCCTCAATTCAACACAGCATTTAAGCACATGCTTAAAGTTAAATATGTGTTTAAGGCCTTTTGGCTTCATGGAACATGAGCATGTGCCTAAAGTGCTTTGGCGAATCAGTGCCTAAAATAAACTAAGTTTAGTTCATGGCCTAATCCTGTTCCCGGTAAAATAAATAGGAGTTTTATCACAGGATTTCAGTTGGAACAGGATGGGGCACTGCCTGTTAAATTATACTGACAGATGATAAAACTAATCAAGATGATAAAACCGATAGAGAGAATTAAAACTCTGATTTATATATTAAAAAATCTGCATATTTGTCATGATGCCATACAAAAAAGAACAAGAAATCTCAAAGTCTGAAGGAAGTCAAATTAACTTATATTAAATAATCAGGCAAAAACCCAAAGCTTCTAACCTTTTAAATGTGTGCTTTAGTATCCAAGTCACACAGTTGCAACATTAAAATATGAAGACAGGTTTTTTTGCATCAATATGTTACCTTTTATTCTGGTTATGGCCAACTAGGCATATTCTTTAAAAGACTTTTATTTATAATAAGCAACTAACATTTTATTTCATAATTTAACTTTTCTAATATATATTAACGTTACATGAATGGAAGCATATCTATTCCGTATCTTCCAAAATAAACACATCTGTCCCAGGGTTTTTTAAGGTACTGTATAAAAGCTAATAGAAAACCAGAACTGCTATATAAACATCTCATATTTAAAATTTTATTTAGAGATCCTGTATTCCTTTACCGAAAAACAAACAGGAATTTAAAAAACAGAGTTCAAAATTCGAAACAGAGTTTAAAAAAATAATCTAACACAAACTTTAAAGGAGACTATTTAGATCATCAAAATCTTTTTACTGATTTTACAATTTGTATTATATTTGAGGAAAAAACCCCATGGTTTCTTCACAAACATAGAACAAATTGTTTTAAGTATGTTGTATTTGTTATTACGTTATGCTAAAATGCATTAGAATTACATTCCAGATGAAAATTATATAAATATTTCAGATTTGAACTGGTCATCATATTGTCTTAGAAGGGTATATTTAGATGGCTAGGCAGACTGTCAACAAACTAATTAGGAAATACACTATTTTAGGGGAATCACCAGTGAAAACTTGGGCACCATTTTAGAAACTGTGTTTTCACATTTTGTCCACACATATTTCTCCTTCTAAAAGATGTTTCATGTACTTAACATGGCTTTATTTCATCCTGATATTGTTAAATGAGCAAGGTTAAGCATAATTACTATTTTATGATGAAGCTATTTAAATAGTTTATTTTTATGAGATGGAATAAGTCACAAGAAGAAGTGTCATTTTTAAAAGACAGAAGTAAGACTCTTGTTTTGATTGCATATTTTCATCTAAGATGCTGGCATACTCTATCAGATTAGTATGATCACATTTTCACATGAGATGCTTGTTTAAGGACAAAGCACACTACAAGCAGGTGCAAATGTAGGCATTTGCATTTAAAAATAGTTTTAAATTTTAACCCACTGCATCACAGTGAAAAACTCTGTAGCTAATTAGTGAAAATTGCTGGTAGTTGAAAGTATGAATGCCATATTGTACCACTTTGCAATGAAATTAAAACAAAACTTAAAAGATGACAAAAGCTGGTTTTGATTGAGGAAGCCATTTCAGTCAAAGGGCCTGCTCAGATGCTTAGAGTTTAGCCTGTGCTTAACCTTGCTCAGATTCAGATCCTGAACTTTCAAAATTTTCACCGTAGTCCAAACTTTTTCTATTAGCACGTCAAGCTGCATTCCCTGGGACTTCTCAAAGAGTTCTAGAAGCTGAAGGAGTGTATAAACTGAATTTAACAGGATTAAAGGCTTGATCCTGCTCCCACTGAAGTCAGTTACAAAACTCCAATTTGACCTCACTGAATGCAGGACTGGGTCCTCATCACATAGGGCTAAATGCAATACTCTCTCTTTTGTTTTCCCAGGTGAAGTTGGCCAGATCCAAAGTGGATCCTTGTAACTACTGTTTGTAGCATTTACATTCCTACAGTTCATTTTAATCCATTCTCACTGCACTAGATTTAAAATTCCAACAGCAGGAAAACTATTTGCACTGAGCTCCCAAATGAGAGAAACCTATCACCAAAAGTGGGTAGTAAAATAACTTTGGACCCTTGACAAGGTTTCTGGCAAATATCTCCAGTACCAATGATGCCAACTCTTCCAGTTGCAACTTCAAGCAACTGAATGGTACCACACTTATTAACCATTATTACTATGATCTTGAACAAACTAAAAAAAATCCAACACAAAAAGTATCACAAAGAATAGAAAGCGGCAGAAAAAACATTCTATACACTGTAGTTATAAAAATGTAACAATTGTAGTGTGGTGCTTTTTTCCTCTGCTTTGAACTAGATATGCATGTTTCATACAAATTTCAAAAAACATACTTCATTAATTTATACAGGTGGCTATGTAAATATTTACATTTGAATTTTCCTCAAAACCATGTTTTTGTACTCACAGCCAAACCTACTGCTGCCACACATGACAATTTTGCTCATATCCTCTACCCCCAACAAGCTTCCACTTTTTAAGTCTATATATTCATACATCCTATGTAGTTAGAATTACACAACTATACAAACCAGTGGAAACAAAACTGTGAAACTGCCTGACATCCATTCAGTGTTAGTCCATATTTATACACAGTACTGTTGTTTGCATTTTGAGACTGCTTTAACACTAGAGTTACCAAAATGCCTATAGTAAATTACCTTTGGGGTGTTTTATAGACAGTGTATTTTTACCCATAGTCTTCCTTATAAACTTACAATTAAATGGCTGAAACCAGGCTTGCTGCTACTTTTTTGTTTTATAAAATCTAAGTATTAATATTGCTGATCTTATACTCCATTTTATTTTGCACAAGTTCCATATAATAATAAAACAACTCCACACTACCATAAAATACCAAACATTCATTTCCAATAAGTGTCAGGGAAACTCAAACTTGAGGTTTATTAGTTATTGCTAAAGATTACTAAGATCTAAGTCAAAACAGCAAAATACTCCATCCACTTCTTCCCTGTCTTCAAGGGCATGGCTAATCTTTATATGGAGCTCATGTGTTTGTTATACTCAAAACAAGAAGTTTCTTACAGTATTTCACTACTATAAACTCAGCTAGAATCGAAGTTGTTGCTTTTTCTGTTTTTAATATACATTTATATATACTGACACCACAGGATAAGGATCCATGCATACAATCAAGATGTGATCATATTTCAGTATTAATGAAATTAAATTATTCTGTTACTATAAGATCCCAGACCACAATATTTAAATTAGATTTCTATTTACTAACATTAAAGTTAGTTTACCTTAATCTTCAAATCCAAGCAGCATCACAAATTCCAACTTTACTCTTTTGATGTTTCTTGTCCCCTTAGATTTCTAGTTTACATGGCATACTTCTGAAATAGCCTGGAAATGGTCTCCATTTAACCAGCTTTTTAAGCTACCTGTTGAAGGTCTCTAGCTTTCTAATTGTGTGTCTGTTCATGGCTCCAAAGACTAAAAGCTGTCTTGAATGTCCTGTGACAAAGTTTACACATATACTGTCTTTTGAATGTGATGGCTGAAAGCGGTGGAGCGTGATAAAAGAGTGTGTCCGATTCTTGTGGAACAAATAGTTTCTCAGTAGTAGTGGAGCTTTCAGACAAACCTGTTGGACTATCAGGCTCCAAGGGCTGGATTTTGGGTAGAGGTGGAGGCGGTGGCAAAGGTGGTGGTGATGGAGAGTTAGCTGGTTGACAGATCTCAGTCTCTTTGTTAACAGATTCTTCTGAGGCCTGCGACATATGAGACTGGAAGTGACTCCACAGGCGGAAGTTGGTTCGGAAGGCCTTGTTGCACACATGACAAATAAATGGTTTTACAGAGCATAAAAGCTCTTGGTGACGTTCCAGCTGCTTGTGTACAGTAAATATTTTCCCACATTTTTCACAGGGCCACAAGCCAGTATCTTTGTTAGAGACAACCTCTTTAGTTTCCCTGTTCATTTCAGTGACCTCATCTTCTATGTCATCTACAGGTTCTTCTTTGATTTGAATTTTAAACTGTTTGGAAACACTTAGGTCTTCAGGGAGGCATGATGAATCCTCTGAATCAAAATTAATTTGTTCTGAAGAATCACTGAATACTCCATCTTCCTTTGCAGTAACAAAATTGTTTGCTTTGTTAGGTTCCGACTGAGAATGCAGTCTTGAAGCACTAGTTATTTCACCATTGTGATCAAGAATCGGTAAAGAAAAATTCTCTGTTGGGGCCATTGTATTTTGATTGTGAACTTCAACTTGATGACGCCAAATACTAAAGGATGATTTAAAAGTGCGCATACACTCAAGACAAGTGAGCTTCTTATACTCACACTTGCTTTCATGTTCCTGCTTCAGCTCTGCAGAAGAAAACCTAAGGCTGCAATAAGGACAAACTGTTGCATTTCTACAGAGTCGCTCGTGATTTCCCTGTTCAATAAGAGAGGAGAGCTTTGCATTGCAAAGACGGCATTGGTACATTTCTTTGTTTTCCACTGGGCTTTCAATGTGAATATGCTCTTTCTGTTTAGGAGCCTTACTCCCCCCTATTGGTTTTTCTCCTGGATGCATCTTTATGTGCTGTTTAAACTGTGAGAGAAAACGATAAGCTTTCCCACAGTAGGTGCAAATGTAGGCTCCTTTGGCTCTTGATCTTAAGTTCCTTTTGATGACTTGTTGTGCTTGCGATGTGGACTGTCCCTGAAAACCTTGTTTGCCACGTCTTAGTTTAACAATCAGAGCTTTTTTAATTTCCCTCTCTCTCACTATGTCAATTAATTTTCTTTGGAATTTTTCATCCAAGACAGCATGTGAACTGGAAGCTGGTGAGGGGTTCTTCACAATTCCATGCTGGGTCTGGCAATGTGTCCACACTTTGAAGTTTGTGTGAAATCTCTTGTGGCATATATCACAAGCATATGGTTTCTCTGGGTTGTGGTACATATTAACATGACGATGAAGGCCTGCTGTAGATCTGAAAATCTTAAGGCAGTGCTTGCATTTAAATTTTTTATTTGGTCTTGCTTCTTCTAGCTCACTGTACTCATCTTTACTGACATCAGAATCTGGAAAATCAGCATAAAGGTGTGGGGGACTTGAGCCTTCTTCAAAATTTTCCTCTGACCCAGGTGAACCATGCTCATTCAGTTTTAATCTTTTAAGTGGTAACCTTCTGTCTGCTTGACATCTCCTTTTGGCTGGAAGTTGATTCATGTCCCTGTGGTCATCTTCAGTTTTAAAAGGGAGGTTTTTATTAGCAGAAGCTGAAGCATCCCCCACTGTAACTCTTATTATTTCAGAAGGATCTGAAAGTGGACTGCTAGGTTCAGTTTTTATTCGTACCTCAGGAACAGGAGAAGCAGCCTCCCTATCAATGGACTGAGAGGCACTAAAGGATCTAAGGCGATGTGGGTGTATTACCTGTGTCTTATCATCTAGGACTGCTTTTTCTGGAGCCTCTTTCAGAGATGACTTCTGAGATACAATGTTGAATGTTTTCCCTTGTGGGTCATTAGTCACTGATGACGATGATGCCTGGGAAGGTTTTAAATCAACAGCAGGTGAGTAAATAGGAACCTGACTATCCATAGACAGTGACCTGCGAAGGAGACTTTTTACGAGTGGGCCACTCCTATCAATTCGTTGATTCTCAGGACCAGATCCACTAGATGGAACCACTAGTCCTAACTTTGAGTAGTATAGCAAGTTCCTATCTTCTCCTTGACCATTTCCTTTTCCTGTCTCCCTCAACAAAAACGTAGATTCCGATGGGCCATGGAGTGATAAAACTGGAGGACGAGGCCTTTTTAAGGACATTTCTGCAGGTTTTCCTCTTAAAAGCTGACTGCTCCCTCCTAGATCATCAGCTGTAGTTTCTTTCTCAGCTAAAGGCTTTTGTGGCAATACTGCATTCCTTTTCACTAAGCTACTTCTGCTTTGATCATCTATAATTCCAGGTTCAGGAAGCTTGGGGTAGCTCACAGGACTATCTTTTAACCACATTCTTTCACCTAATGATAAATTGTGAACTGCTTCAGTTGGTTTTGAAATTTGTTGTCTATTAGTTTTAACAGAAAAGGAGGAGGAAGGCTTAGAGGTATGGCTTAAATCATGGTGTGTTTGACTAACACTTTTCCCTTGTGCTTCATTTCTGCTCTGGCAAACAATGACACTTCTCTTCTGAGAATTGTTTTCTTCTTCCTCTTGAAACAATATTTTCTTAATGGGACATGTTGGAAAAGGAGCTTGAGGAGTCTTAGAAACAATGTTAGTAAGAAAGGAAATTCCAAGACTGTAGCCCAATTCTTGCACAGCTGCAAGACTGCTTTTCTCAACAAACAAGGATGAAGAGTAAATATAGTTTAATACATTATCAAAAGCATCTGGTTCACAGAAGTCAAGCTGAAACACTGATTGGGACTCATTCTCCTTATTTGTGAACAGTGTCTGGAAGTACTCACTGCTGGCAGCCAGAACATTTTTGTGAGCTCGAAATTTTTGATCTCCCACAATAAGAAGAACATCACAAAGCTGTCCTTTTAGACGCTCCTCGTTCAAAGCACTTAAGAGTGAAATGGCATGTGCTGGATTTATGTAATGCAAGAGCCCCTCCATGATTTTGATGTACCTGAAAACAAAAAATAAATGTTATGGTCTATTTTACATGCAGTTTTTAGTATAAAATGAACTCATCGTTCCTTAGTTTTAGAATGCCAACCAAAGCAGCCATTTTTCTTTAGTATTATGTAATCTTAGCCTTTGAGAACAGGCATGAATTACAGGAACAAAGCAAACAGTATTCACAGTTCTGGTAGGTGCACAATCATGAAAGGAAGCAGCTTGTGATTCTGCTTTTCCAGTGCACCTTAAATAAATCACACTGCTCATTTGGATTATTAAAGCTAAACAACAAGAGCTATGTTTTCTAATTGTAGCATATGCTTACTCCTCTTCAAAGACCCACAGTAAACTAAATGATGGTAAAGGAGGTTCCCCACCCCACCGATCACTACCCCTGTAGAAAGACAATTTAAAAAATATATTGCTGAATCTGGGTCGTATGATTTTACAGAAAATCACTTGTGAGGCCACAACCATCTTGATAGTATCCTTTTGATTAAGCAAACTTTAGTCGCTTTTTTTTCCTTATTGTTCATAATGATAAAAGGACAGTTCATGTTCAGCGGGGAAAGACAATAGTTTTAATTGTCTCTGATACAGATTATTAAGTTATCATTTTTACTTACATTTAAATAAGGCAAAAGTACAATTCACAATTTAGGAAGTGTATTACTTCCTAAAGTGTATTACTTCCTAAAGAAAGAGAAATTCATCCCCTGTAACTGAGTGGCCAAATATTCCATCTTCCTGGGAATTTCATAGTTTCAGAGATGCCCTAGTGGTGTTTTTCCATAGCTCAGTATAGTCAACTGACTCTTAACTGAACACTCATTCTTGATTCCAGCACCAGATGACTTGCCGGGTGCCCTATTGTATGAGAAACAGCCACTTTAGGACTCTGATGATTGTAGTGGAGCATTACAACTTCACTGCATGCAACAATCCCCATTTAACATCTGTCTCCTACTGCAGAATGTCTGATAATTCAATAGAAAGCTTCTTGCTACATCATAGGAGAGAGTTAGTTAGATATAATGTGCATCTTTAAAAACAGGAAAAAGATACCTTAGTACACAGATCATCAGTGGCACCAACTCTATCTTCCGTTTTCTTAACAGAAATTGGAGTCCTGCCAGCTTTTAAATGGAATTTTACTTTAATTCTGGTAGTAAAAAGTCTTAGCACCAACATTATGGATGGCACTGTAAAACAAATCAACAATAGGTCTTGCACATTTAATAAAAAAAAACCTTTGTTTTTTATTAAAGTAGTTGATTGAAAGTGAAATTACTTTTTAGATATGAAAAAGGGCTGGCAGACATAATTGCAACGGAAAGGTTTCACCTTTCACTGACTTATATGTGAGCCTGAATAACTCAAATAAATAATATGTTATGAAGTTATAACCCTATAATTAGAAAAAGTAGAGGGAAGAGGTAAAATCCATTAGCTAACAATTACCAATGAGCAATGCTCAAACCCAGTGTTCTACACTGGCCTTGTTAAGAGTGTAAGTCTAAAAGGTATTGAGAGCACCATGGAAAGCTCTACTCATAGATATGATTAGGCCAGAGACTGTAATTTAAGCATGCAATACATTTTACTTAATATATAACCACAACAACAGAAGAGTTGTTTCTTTGACTCCACTGAAACCAGTGCAAAGGCAGCATCTGTTTAAAATATCAGAAATATCTCCCAGAGATTAACTCTGATAAATTATGTAGGGCAGGGTTGTCCAACTGGTGGCCCAGGAGCTGCAGAAAGGCTTTACATTGCAGCCCCCAGCTCCTGCTTGTCTGCTTCTCCCCTTCACTAGGGCTGCAACAATAGCCAGGAGCTCTGGGCTCCCCCCCCCCCCCCCCCCCCCCCCCC